TTTTTTTTTTTTTTCTTCTCTTTTAGCTCCAATCAAATTCAAAACTCGTCGACCGTACAGCCATTACTGAAACCAAATAACCCATCAAACGATTCATCCAAATCATTTTCACCATCAAAAACTATCAAATCACCGCCACCAACAATTGTTGTCAGGTCTGTTTTTTTTTTTCTTATCATCCAAAAAATACTGTGTCAAAATGGTTCATATTATTTAGCAATTACAAAAAATGGAGGAAAATGTTATCATTTTTTTGATGCTACAATTGAATCCATAAGAAGATAATGGTTAATCGTCTAACTGTTATCCCGTTTTTTTTTTAGCTGCTCACCAATTTACCTTCTTAGCTATTTGGCTACTATCTCAATATCAACCATCTGTTTTCCTCTTTAATCAAATAGGATCAAACAAAATAGAATAAAAAACAAAGAAAGAAAAAAAAAACAAATAAATCATTAAACAGATGTCACCCGACTTTTTATCATATATAAATGTTGAATTTAGATGTAGAAAAAAAAGCGAAAAAGGAGAAAGTGAACAAGCCAAAATTTTGTACATTTATTTGATCCAAATAAAAAACAAACCAAAACAAAAATAAAAGTTTTGAAGAACAAAAAAAAGTAAATTAAACTGAGCTGTTATCAGGAAAACCAGTTTAATTATATAGCAATGATACATTTCTAACTCTGTATCGTTCATTGCTTTCTTCTGCCTTTTTTGTTTTTTGCTCCTTTTTCCTGTAAAAATTGGTTACAATGCAACATCGATACAACATCGGGCATCCGATCGCTGTATCTTTTCAACAGAATTTTTTTCAACACGATTTCTAATCTTTTTGCAGTTCCCTAGAAGAAGATCATGAAAAAGTGAAAGTGATCTTTGAATATGACAAGGGTAAAGGAAAGTTAAAAAATGTGGACAACGAAGGCTATGAAATTATGCATTCAAATTTGCTTGTTCGTAACAAACGACCAATTCTGATATCTGCATTTATTATACTGATGTTTTTGTTATTTTCAGCATTTATTGCAATACATTTTGCATTGAAAAAAACAAAAAAACATCATATGTGATAGTGTGTGTACAGTTGCAATATATACTAAACTAATGTTAAACGATAAAAAAATTATTGCTTGTCTTTGATTAAAAACAGCAATACCATTATCCTCCAGAAAACAACATAGAAACGATAAGAATCAACCAAATAAACCATTTTCCTTTCCTGTTCTTTTTTTTTTTTGGAAGTTAAATCCAAATAACATTGATAGCTGTTATACAGCGATGACAAATAAATGCTTCTAAACAGATATCCATCCAGTCGACAGTCTTTTAGCTGGTTACTCGGTTAAACATTTTTGTTAGTTTCTGCTTGTTTTTTTTTTTTTCCTTTTAGTCAATAAAAATCAAAATTTGAACTAACTAATTAGTCGGCTATAATTATGTTAAAAAATATGTACTTTTGCCTTTTGATTCTCGGTCACCGTCTACCAGGTATAGAAGTACAAGGTCAACAAAAAATAAATAACCGCCTAGACCAATGACATTAATTTTTTCTACCATCCGATCAGTGTTCTCATAATGCTCTTTAGCAAGCTTACTAGATTTTTATAC